ATTCTCAAGAATGCCTTGCCACTCATGCACACAGAAGTCACTTTGGGCTGGGGACTTAGAGACTTGATTTGTCAGAGATGGAGGCAACTTTTTTGTTTGTTTTGTGGACTTGGCTAAAATTGTGTGAAAAGATGATCAATACAATTAAGGAAACTTACTTGCAGCTGTAGGAAATGTTATTTTCAAGACATTTAAGTGAAACCTCCAAAAGTGTTTTCACAGGACAGCCTCCCCTGCTTTAAGTTTTCACTAAATTAAAAAAAAACAAACCTACCTCCCCTTTCTTCAATAGCACAAGGTCTTTTTCCTCTTCTCCCAAGTCTTCCAAACATTTTGCCAGAAAGACAAAGATAGTACCACACGAGGCATTGTTTGAAGACACCAGGAGATAGAAATTAATCAAAATTGAGAAGGGACTTGAACAAGGCATACCACCTCAAACTCTTGGCCTGGATTCAAGTGTCACTGAAAGTCAGCAGGACACTCAACTTCAGTATGTTACAATTTAGATAGAAACCAGGTCTAGGAGTAAGTTGTATGTGTGAATTTTGGCAACAATAACTAATGTCACTCAACTTCAGAGATAGGTGTCAACTCCTATGTACTGCAGCTACACAAACAACTTTTAGCACCATCTAACCTAATGATCCAAAAGACTTTTTTCAGGAGCGAGAAAAAGAAAAGGTCATCTTTAACTGAAGAAAAAACCTGTGCAGTGTGTAATTCTCCATGCTGCACTAAAAATCAAACTCTGTGACATCTTTTCCTGTAGTTCCAGTCACTCCCATTATCCAATCATCCTCCAGGTTTTTGGCAATCATGCTCATCCAAATCTGTGAGCTTTAAGAATAAGGAACATTTACTCCTTACTCATTGCATTTGGAGCAGGGTCCCATTCAAGCATATCCCAAGCCCACCTTTGCATTACTGCACTTCTTTCAACAGTCATAAACAAAAGGTGCTCTCCAATGCATTTATATTCTAGATTTACAACATTTATAGAAATAAACTGTAACAAGGACTCTAAAGGGTTTTCCAAACCTCTAAAGGGTTTTTACTTGATCCAGGGGTGATTTAAACAACATCATCTTTAAATTTATCTTTTGTATGCTTATGCCCAGAGTCCATAATTTGCAATGTTTGAAGAACAATGCAGGGTGATCCGCATTTAATATTGCATGGCTCATAAGTTTACCACAATATCATAAATTTACTATAAATTGGTACAATCTTCACTGTCCTAATAAGGGAATGTGATAGACACATAAAAAAATCTCAGGAAGGAGGAACTGAACTAATCCCTTGCACAGCTCCATCACAAGAGGTAATAATTAAACATTTTAAGGTGGGCCGTTGATCTTGTCTGACTCGTAACTGTCAACAACAAAAACAGCAAAACCACAGTTCTGAAGAGTCTCCAGTGCAGCAGTTTTAAATATCCCACTCTTTCATAGTAAACCCATTATTATTTTCTTCCATTTGAGAATTAGGTGAGCAGCAAGACTTCAAGGCTCAGGCAGCATCATTTAACTTCAAGCTTGCTGTAAAAATAGGTAGCATAACTGTCAAATTGCAGAAAAGATTTCTCATGGACATCATTATTTTGACAGGCTCTGGAAGACAGAAAGATAACAGGGAGAAAGGCACTCCCAAAACTACTTATTTTGTCACCAGTACCCAAGACCTGTGAGACCTATGTGAGTTGAGTTTAGATAAATATACAAATTTTGAGAAATTTAGTTGAACCTCATCCAAACTACCAAACCTCTTAAACACATAAGAAGTTTGAACAATTTGGAAGGACAGACTTTCATTAAATCTAAGACTGTTGCTCAGCCCGGTGTGCCTGAAACCACCTCCACGAGTTACCCATGGCATTCTGTCACTTTCTCACTGGCCTTCAACTTCCAAAACATACAAAAATATCTAAGGAAAAAGACATAGCTGTGAAGCCACATTTTTCAAGTTTCTAAAACAAACTCATTTTTAAAATCATATTGTGTTTAATTGGTTTGTCCAACTTCACTTATTAGTAGCCACACCAGAAGCACAAGCTAAACATCAAATTGTTTCAAAGACTGATGTTATTTCCTCAGTTAACATTTATTTTGCATGTATCCATAAATGTACTAGATGGAAAGAATGAGCATGCACAGAATAAGTCTTGGCTTCATTTTCCTGCCAGCTATCAGACAGCAATGCTCATGCACAAATCTTTCAGTATTTAATATTCATAATGCTGAAGCATCTACTGATCCTAGTTAGGATCAAGAAATTTTATGAAATGTACAAAACAAAGATTGTCACAGTTCTGCCACAAAGAATTTACAATTGGACAGGTTGACAGACTAACTGTTGCTGCAGTGGGTATTATGTGAGAAGTATTCTTTAATGTTATTCTAGCTACTCTTAAATGCAAATGACACTCTAGGTAGCTCTAAGCAGTAATGTAGGGCATTTTGAAACAAATGCAGGACAATACTGTACTTCAGCAGCTACTGAGGCAAAGCAGTTACTTTGTCTTATCAGAGGTTTTTGTAGTTTTGTTTGTTGGGTTTTTTTAATATATTTTTGTTCATCTATTTTTTTCAGTGGAAAGTTACATGATAGTATTAATCAACCTGAATGTAATTTAGAAGATAATTTTTTTCAGTCCAAAAGAAGTTGACCAACATTAACAACAATATTCATTTTAACTGTCTTCCTAATGGAAACAATTTGATATTTTGTTTCAAAATGCAGTAATATTTTTGAGTTATGATCCTTCTCCAACACTTCTTTCCCCAGGAGAGATGACGTAATAGTGGTTTGCTTGCGTTTGGTTCACATAACACTCACTCTTAACCAATGGCAGAAAGGCTTTTGCAGCTCACGAAATAGTGGGGGGGTGGGATAAGTGTGGAAATAAAAGAATTTTTACATAGCCCTGTTGGCTAACGTTCTTTTTTGAGAGGCACGTTGAGAAAGAACAGGTTACCTCTGAGATGAGTTTGGTATTTAAGCACTCTTTGGGAAACCTGCACTGCTGAGAGAGAACAGCTTTCCCAAGGCTGAGCAGAGAGCTAGATGGGGTCAGAGCTCAGGAGTAATGTTTCTCAGTCACATGCAACCCCCAGCTCTCTTCTGTAGCCCACTAAAGGCCTCTGGCAACCTGAATTCCCCAAATGAGGCAGAGAGGATGCTCCTTCAAATATCTCCTTGATGCCAAGGATGTTTCTATGGTAATTCTGCATTCAAAGTTACTAGTTCATGCTGCGTGAGAAGCTACATAAGGGCCCAAGGAGATGAATGAACCTATCTAAGGTTGTGCATACCCAGGGGGCTTCCATAATTTTGGGTGCGCAGAAATACAAAGACGGAATAATGACAATGTTGTGCTGCACTTCATTTGTTGAATTACTTCAATACCTTGCTCACAGATGTGTGTATGTGAATCTAATCAACCAAACTCCTCATAGACAGCAGAGATTATTTTGAGACATTATTCCTTCTTCTGCTACAGAAAAAAAAGAAGCACCAGCCTTTCATAACCTCTTGAATACAGGGAGGTGTGTGTGCATGCACAGACCGACACCCCTTTCCCATATGCACCAAAAAAAAAGGTGAGAATAAAAAGTTTCCTATATATAGCACATATATTCTAGAATATATGTGAAATTCTAGAAAGATAGGAGTATTAATAACAGACTTGTCTTTTAATGCAGAAAAATACCCCAAACCCACCAAAAAACTCTTTGATTGTTCATCTACTTAAACAGTTATTAAAAGAGAAAAACACCTGCAAAAGAAAAGGTGGCATGATCATAAATAAACATCTGAAGAATGAGATTTTTCTATACCACGTTAAATCCTAGTAAAAGAAATTTTTTTGTACCTTTTCTTCTTGAATCATATTTTGCTTCAGATCTTAAAACTATTCAATTTGCTGTTCAATAATAGGGACTCATATTGCCTTTTAAATGCATAAAAAAAGTTGCATATTTTTGCTTTCATTTTCCCTGTGTGTTTGTTGCATACTGACATCAAATTCCCTGCAGGCATCCTAACTTTGCAATTGGAGAAACAGTGCTACAGGGTTTTCCACATGTCTAATACACCTGGATAGAAAGTGCTAATTGTCACCAACTTCCATTAAATGACAGCAGTAAGGCACAAAATATGCTTGATTTGCAGATGCTAGTGCTACTGGGAGTTAGCAGTAGATTAATAATTGTGCAGACCTCAAACATTCCCCTGGTGCTGCCAGCCTGGGTTTCCAATGCCACGTCAGATTACAAGGCCTTTGTTTTTACCTTGCTCTCCTGAGGAATACTGGCTTAGACAGTTGTACTGTTTCCCTGTGCGTATGACTGTCCTACCCTCCCACGATAATTTCTGATCAGTTTGAATAAATTTTAAAGGAAAGTAGAGGTTGCAAATGTACAGTGGCCTTAGCAGTTTTGTGAAAAACAGGCAGCTAGGTAGATAGATCAAGTCTGAGTTTCCTGCAAGGATACCTGAATCTAGAAAGCCAAATATCCTGGTTTTCTAGATTCAGGTATTCTTGCAGGAAAACAAACCCTAATTCTGTTCAAATTTTGTTAACACTGAAAGTAGAAGGGAGATGCATCATACCACATATTCAGCACGCAGCAACCCTGCATCTGACCACCTTTATGGATCAGGTTTCAGACTAGGTTCCCAGTTTTGTGATGATTTTTTTTCTTTTTACAAACCTATATGCCAAAAAAATTCTATATCAGCTTGAGGTTTTGAGTGTGCATCAGGAGTCAACTTCTTGCGCAAGTTCAATCTTGCTCTGGTTTCCTCCAGATAAATTCAGGGGCCCACACTTTACCTTCTCTCATCTCTTCTTGCTCTGCTGTTATTGCTGTTTCCTCTCTACTCTGAGCGCACATGGGCACATACCCTTGGGTATGAGGACACCGCCCCTGTAGCATGCAAGCTCGCTGGCGGCTCCGGTGGCATTGCAAAGCTCATTTTTGCGTGCAGCAACATGATTACGGCGAAGGTGAGGGCGAGGCTGAGCAAATGTGTTTCAACACTTCTTTCTTGGTATTTATTACCATGCCATAGCATTCCTGCAACCTGGCCTGCTGTTGCTCCAGCTGCCTATGCAAACTCCTGATGGAGCGCAACAACAGAAGCCGTCGGTACATAGCTAGCTGGAGGCGGTACTTCTCCTTTTCCTCTTGTTTCTTATTTTCTAAGGTCTCCATTACTGTTGTGGTCTTCATCCAAATCACATGGCCCAGACTACAAGAGGCAGTATTGCCATTGGTGCCACTCCCTGCCTGCTGTGTGTAGCAGTCCTTTTGGTCCGTCCCAGCCTGTGGGGGTTTGCCAGCCTCACAGAGCACCCCTGGGACCTGCAGCACTTCTGAACTTGAGCTTTTGGAGCACAGGGAGGCAATGTCCACAGGCTGCAGGTTACCAACTACCACAGGGTACAACAAGCCACCTAATGATACATTTACAGCTGCCAGATGATGCTCAGCCAACCCAGAGGCTGTCCTCTGGGCCTGGCCACCACTAACCACCTCTGGGCCAGTCAGGGCTTTTACCTGGGCCATGGCCTTGCTGGAGAGGACAGACAATCTTTCTGGCACCGTTGAGCTTCCCCTGTCTTCATTAAGGCTGGTTAACGAAGGGCTGGTAGAGCAACCAAGGGACACCGTAACAGTATCATGATTCGGAAATCGATCTTCATCATCACCATTATTTTGGATCTCCTCTTCATCTGTTGGTATTACAGCTACTGTCTCAGCCATTTAGTGCATGAGCTACAGAAACTTTCTGTGGACAAAGGTGGAAGCAAAAGGATTTAATTTCTACATACACACACACGAAGAAGCCCAGTGCAGTGACATTTGAAGAAAGAACCTCTCTTTATATTTAAGCAATGGACCTATTACTTTTCTAATAAAGCACAACCCTTGGGTCACTTCAGGCCATTTCTTGTGATTTGCATTAGATGTTCTTTGAGACACAACATTAATCCAATAATAATTAAAATGATATACTGTACTATTAACATTCTCAAATCTTTAAAGGCAAGTGATCTATCCCTGCAGCACCGGCTGTGCTGACTAATTAAACAGAATACAGTTGTAAATGGGCATTGTAAGCACTTCTCCCATTTAAGAAGTGTAGTTTGTAGAGACGGACGAGTTATCAGGATTGATCAGCTTTAGAGAGAGGTGGATGTACCACAAACAGCAGGTTGCATTTAAATGCCCTCTCCTTGATTAATCTGTCTGCTACCAGTTTGTTTACAAGGTTGCCTTTCCCCCTCCTATTAATTCTAACTGTAAAGATACATTAGCACCACACTAGCCAAAGAGAGGAAAAAGAAATCAAACACTTACCGAGGTTACTGGGGGAAAGGAAAAAAGTTACAGTGCATTGTGCCTATGTATCGTTTTTTCTTGAATGTGAGTCAGCACAATCTGGAACAGAAACATCACAGTGCTGGAGCAGGAGCAGCAACAGCATCACGCAGCATCCACCCAGCAACAACACAGTCAGTCCCAATCACAGAGGAGTGCAGGGCTGTTTTCTTCCTTCTCAATGGACATTCCTCCCTGGCATGCCGCTTTTATGTCATCTTTGAGCATCAAAATAAATACCAGGATTGGATGACGCTTTTTTTCCCACCTAAAAACAGACATACTTGATTCACCTATTCTAAAGGGGGGCAATACCTATGGCCCTTCCCACCCCTGACAGTCAGCAAGGAGGTAGCACAGCACCAAAAAGAGGGTGAGGCATTCTGGACTCCAGTATGCACTTTTTCCTTAAGAAGGAAATAAGCTTAGATAAACTTCAGCTGCGTGCACAAGTTAAACCCAAAAATTAAACAAGCATTCAGCACCAACCAAATGCCTCACATAAAGACGGGTGGAAGCTGTAGAATTGAAGTGTTTAATGTACACCCATATTTAATTAGGCTGGCCTAATTTTAAGGAGCAGCTCTACATCCAACTAAGCCATCCCACAGAACAATAAACTTTATCTTCACTTTTGATGCTTAGAAAAGCTACCTTCAGCATCCTCTTTTGCTTGTAGTGCCAGGAACAAAATTCACAAATAATGTATCTGTACCTACTTAAATCGATTCACCATAGGGCATCAGTTGCCCCAAGACTTTCTCTACTCCATTCTGCTAATATAAACAGAAGAAAGAAGTAATCCAAAATACTACCTAGAATCTTCCTGCAGCTGGAAAAGAATGAAAGTAGATCCTATCTCCACTTGTATGGGTGCTGCAATACAGATAATATTTTTTTTTGCATTTCTGTACTATCCTTCTTTCTGATGAATCTGTTAGGATATACTTACAAACTTGAACATAGGAAGTCTGGTTAACATAAATTCAGATTTATACCCTGAGGTCTAACTTGAATGCATTTTTTGGTGCAAGAGGCAATTTGCACTGAATTTGTAAAATAAACTAAACTAAACCTGCTGTGCTTATGTGCCAGATCATGCTGCAGATTATATAAATAATACTAGGAAGATATTAATATCCAGTGAGTTAATAAACTCTGCAAGTTTATATCTTGGTGATTCCCATTTATCTGAATCACAAGTTACTGTAATTGAAGAATATAGAATTCAGATAACAGGGATTTTACTGCATTAACACACTGAAAAGGTTCATTGTAATACAGCATTATATGGAGAGTGTTTTAGCTTCAGCTGCTCTCATCTCCAAAGCACTGTAGGCATATCTCCCTACTACAAAGAGGACAGTGGATGGGTGCTAGGGAGTACCTGATCTCCAGCTATGTCAATATACTTTTCTATTAGCAATAGTACTCTGTTCCTCACTTCAACATCAGTAGCAATCTTCTGCAAAATAAGTATTTTCTAATAGTCTAAGAAGGCATGAAAAAACAGAGTTTTGGTGTTTGTGGTGTTTTTTTGGGGTGTGGTTTTTTGTTTGTTTTGGACTTCTGGTTTTTTGTGGGTTTTCTGGTTTGTTTGTTGTTGTGGGTTTTTTTCCCAAGCTCTTTACAGCTTTAATTTTTCAGCAAAATTTTACAGGCAGTACTGTTTGAAGAGGTGGGGAGGGGGCCAAAAATTCATTTTCCCCATCAAATTAGAGTCACCAAAAATAATATTAAATGTTTATAGATGTGGATCTGGATAGAATAAATAGCATCTGATACAATCAACTAAGCAATAAAACTACAATCAAAACTGATTGAGCTAAATGGCTTTTCATAGAATACTATGACTACGGCTGTAATCTATGAAGCTTAATAGTAAAAAATATTCAGTCCACTGGATTTAGAGAATCAGCACCATACAAATACTGCCAAAGACACTTATTTATTATTGCTAAAATACAAGTGCCACTTATGGCTAGGGCTGCATGCATTATCATAACAGGGCTGTTATTATCCTCCTCTCCATTGTTCACAACTTCATAAAATCTTAGCTAGAGCATCAGTTGGAAAGGTTCTAGATTCAGTTTCTGCCTGAAGGTGAATACATACAGAGCACTTCAGTCAAAAAGATAGAGATGCTCAAGTACAAAAGCAGGAACAAAACCAGTCTTATGGCTGGGAAGACTTATGGAAACCTTTCAGGAGAAAAGTCTCTTGTGTAACCGACAGACTGGGGAGCAGGGAACAAAACCACAGCTCACTTCGTAAGGAAACATGTAAATTCTTGTTCTGAGATGAAACAACCATCCTTCTATTCACACAAGACTGTTTCCTTGACAAAGTGACTCCTACAGTTTATCTCCCTTTTATTTGCAATTTGACAGATCAATAGAGACCTGAAAAGACATTATGTTAGTTTCTTCTTCAAAAGGCACATTGTGTTGTTTCTCTGGTGAAGAAGCACTTGCTGTTCCACCCAAGAACCTGTTGCAGACAGACTGTTCAATTCCACTTGCTCACTCCTGGACTTGTTAATCTATTTGTGGGAACCTTTCTAGTCAGAAACTGCTTCCAATTTCACAGTGAATACATCTGTCAGTTTAACACACCGGGAATTTCAGGTAGGCAAAAAGAAAGCAAAGACACCCTCAATTCAGGTTCATTGCATTTCATTACCAGCCACTCACAGATAGATAGATGCAGCTACAGGAGTTCAAGGTGTAGATAGACCCTGGGGAGCCACCTTCAAGCTGTCAGTCTTGCACACTCCTGTAAAGTCTATGTCAGTAGAGGTTTTTAAACCATCACACTCTTCAAGGTATTAACTACAAGGAGTACTTGGCAACCCACATGCTCATAAGTGTAAGCATGTGCTAAAATGCTCTGTGCTTGCAGGCTTATGGAATAAGTGCTTAGCCATCACAGTTGTGTCTTGTATGGCAGCAGAAAAGACCTGGTCACAGGGAAGTCCCTGCAGATAGTCAGGACAACTGTTTCTCCATCTCTTCCAATTACAGTGCCGTTCTCAAGCATGGACACATGTGAGGATAGGAAAGTGCTTGGTCTTGTTATTTATTAAGTACAAATGTTTTACTGAAGTTCAAAGCATAACAACCAAACACATTTACAAACAGCACCAAAGGTGATAAGCATTGGTGAAGATATACCATTAAAAGACCATGTCCTGCGATGCTACATTGTTTTGTATTTGAGCTTGAGGAGCACTTTTAATGAAATAGCAAAAAATACCTTATTACACAGTAGTGCAATTCCATGTGTTATATTAATTGCTCTTAAAGATCAAAAGGAATATTTTGTCTGTTAATGTACACACTTGCATAACCTCCTATGAAATCAATGAGATCCACATGTGTGCATCTGAGGCCTAAATTTTTTCCCTAAAGATTCTTTAAAATCCTTTTACAGGGCAGTAAGTTGTAGAAGAAAGTCATGTGTTCCCTTTCTTCTGCCTTCATACCCAAAAGAGATAGGAGTTCTTACAGGCTGCTTTGTATTTTTCTGGATAGTAACAGTATCCTGAGGGGCCACTGGCCAGCCAGGGATTGCCATCATTCTGCTGTCATGTTTGTCCACACCTGGGAGTTTCTGCACCAACAACAAAATAAGAAATGGAGCCCAGCTCCATGTGCAGCCCACTGATGACAGCAAGTGTTCTAGATATTTCAGGGCCAGGGAAAAGCATGGCTGGATATCTCAACGGCTTTCAGACAGAAGGAAATTAGGAATCTAAACAGAGCTGCAGTGCAATTGTGTGTTCAGGCAACCTGGAAGCATTTAAGCAAAAGAGCAAATACATGATTTTACTAGTGAGGAAAGTTTCAGTGGCTTTGAACATGAAAATCCAGGCGTTCGAACATACCATCTTTAGACTAAGGGTAAAAACATTGAAACAATCTGCCACAACTGGTAAAAATTAGCAGGCTTGCTGCCAGCCTCAACAGAACTCCCTGTCAGAGGTGCAAATCTCTGAAGGAGTAGCTCAGACTGCATTTGGACTGAGCTGAATTTGCAAGCTTCAGAATCTCAAGACTGCAGGTGTCAAAGTGACCCAAACACTAAGAAGGGGTTGATGACAGCTCTCACTGCAATATTTCAGCAACTCTACTCCTAACTCTGCTTGGGCTTAACTATTCCCAGGGACACAAAATGAAAAATACATTTATAGGGATTTATAAAGATATTTTGGAAGCGAAATATTTTGATTTTTTTCTCAAGGCAGCGGCTGTTCTCTCTACCATCTATGTGGAAAGCATTCATTTATGATTTCAACCAC